TGCTTTGTGCTGCTGATGTACAGATGCTCCCCTGCTTTGTGCTGCTGATGTACAGATGCTCCCCAGGTTATGATATTTTGACTTTATGATAAACGTTTCTCACTTTCAGTACATCATCCAATAATTACACGATATTCAAAATTTTATTATAAAACAGGCTTTGTGTTAATGTTGCCCAACTGGAGGCTAATGTAAGTGTTCTAAGCATGTTTTTAAGGCAGGCTAGGCTATGATGTTTGCCAGGTTTACTGTATTAAAATGCATGTTTGCCTTACAATAGATTTATTGGAACATAACCTCATCGTTTACCAAGCGAGAGGTTATATACAGCAAAGTCAGAGCATGTCAAGGCATCTCCAAGTGTCTCAGAAGGGCTTAGACCCCAGAGGGTTAAAAATCTCCAAAGCACTGTTACTGCCTTCTGCCGTGTTTTCACACGAAGGAAGCCCATGTTGCCTGCTGGGTTTGCACACATGCGTCAGGGAGACTGTTGCTAACTTTGGTTGATTCTGGACAGTATTTAGCGAGTTTTTCGAAGCACAATAATCAACCACGGTTTTAATGATAATCAATCTGAAATGGTAATACTCTTGTGAATTTTACCGTGAAACTGGTAGTCATTTCATAAGGAGTCACCAGCTTTTTGCACAGTGTGACAAATCATACCAGCGTGCTTTGGTGTCAAAATGTGTACCTGCTATGCAAAACTCATATAGGTTGGCAGATCTGCAGTCTTTAAATTTGCTGGCATGTTTTCCTGTTGGCACTCGTTGCACCTTGTTTGTTGCTTCTTGCGGCTGTATCCAGCAGAATTTCCCCCATGGGATCAATAAAGTGCATCTTAAGTTAACATTTATTTGAAATTTTCATTTCAAAAAGGATTAGGAGCATTTTTTTTTTCTTAGCCCAAGCGATAATTCAGATTTTAAAACCAAAGTCATACATTTCCAGCTTACCTCAGCTTAAGTGATGAAAGAAGCATTTTAAAAGAATGTTTTTTCCCCATTTCTTGCAAAACTTAAATGGACTCAAACAATATATTTAATAGATTTTTTGTTAACAAAGACCATAAAAAAAACATTTAATTTAGAGCCAGAAATCAATTTGACAATGTACAAAAAAATGAATCAGCTGCACTATAAAACACAAATAATTACACCAGCATAAAATGCATATTATGTACACAGGAATTTACAGATGTTTGTTTCACCTTGAGGCTCAGCTCAAAATACGGACGAAGGCAACACTAAAATATTAAAATGGTCCAACAGCTTAGACTGTTAATGAATGTAGCCATAAAAAAGTAATGCAGGATAATGTGAAGCCCACCCCACCCCCCCCTACATGGCGTCTGACAGCATCCGATGGAAAAACAGCACAGCTGGCTCCGCGGTCAGATTCCTCATCTCAAATGGGTGACCTGGGGGGGGGGGGCATGATAGATGACTAACAGCCACATGCAAGATAAACCAGAGTAAAGATCTGAGCCAAAACAGAAGGGTCAGAATGGTAACATACCGCGGGGCACCATGAACGTCTGTCCAGAGGAAACACAGCTCTCCACACCATTGATCTTCACGCTCAAGGAACTTGTCAGAATGTTGTAAACCTGAACATAAACATAAAAGTAGCTTAAACATAAATATAAAGGTGATAATCTAATGAGTGTTTGAAGCAATTAACAGGACTCTTCCCTTACAAGATTACAGATACTGCACATGCAGTGCAATGACTTTGCATCATGTAATGTAAGACATATGAATGCTTTTGCCGAACTAAAGGCAACTCTGTGCCCTATGTTGCTGCCTCCCATGACCCTGTACCAGGTAAGCATTTGGAAAATGGATGGATGGATGGACGGACGGACGGCTTCTTGGTGTCTGCATCCTGACCTAATGATTGTGAAAGTCCAGCCCTCACTCTAAGGTGGAGGGTGAGATGATGTACTGACCGACAGGGCCTGGCTGTCCACTTGCAGAGGCTTCTTCATGTAGGACCCAAGCAGGATCTTGCCACTGGAAAAGATGTTGCTCTTCAGGTCGGTTCTACAGCCCATGGCTTTTCCGTGGTAACCGTACCACCGGAAGTGCTCAGGAGTGATGACAGGGGAGCCACCTGGGGCAGCAACAAGCCACAGACACATGTCGTTTGTTATTGGGTGTCATGCCAATAAGTCACACTTCAAACAGTACCTATGTGCCATTTTGAGCACCCTTGCTACTAAAAACATGCTTTACAGGTCTAATTGTAATTTAAAACCAATCTAATGAACCTAAACAATAACCAACCTAAATTCTGTGCAGGTTGCCTATGGGGGATAAAGCATATCCCTCTTTATAAGATTCAAACCAACTGTGAATTCAAATAGCAAAGGTATCCATGTCTCATTTTCAACTCATTAAAAAAGAATTACATTGTTACACTGTTTAATGTATTTCAATTTTGTAATGACACTGCAGCTGATCCACAATGGTAAATTAAACTAAGACCAACATAACTAGGGGCTTGCTGGCCAAAGCAAGCAAGAACTCACTGTCTGGGAAAGAAACGTGGAATCTGATCAAACACCAACTTGCACACTGTCGAGTTCATCATAGGTACTGACCGATTTTTATTGAAAATGAGAGGGTAAAATTCATAATCACCCCATGAGATTTGCAAATTTGACATTTGTGGTTTTTCACCATGACCAATGGCCATGAACAATTTAATGGCAACATTATCATAGAAGCTTGCAGATGATGCCAAAAATATATTAACTGTACTGAAAACAATTTGGGTCACATAAAATCATATGATACATAAATAGTTTTATTTAATATTTGTTAGCGCAAGTTATTTTTGGTCGAAAAACATGTGGGATCTACACATCTTGGTTTGGATACGCTGCGCATCTTTGTCTCAGCAACCAGCTTCACTCATGTGTTAGCGGTCTTTGTGACCATGGAATCTTGTGGTTCTCACAGTAACTTCTAGATTTTTCAGTGCCGTTAATTTAGCATTTTTAATAATGGCCCCAAATATTCACAAATTTTCACAATCACTCTCGTGAATGTGAAGGGGTGACTGTTCCCCTCTACCATGTGATGCTAGGAGCAAGGACTGGCACTGACCTGGGCTGCACCACACGCTGTTCAGCCACTTGACCAACTCTGCCCGGTCCTCCACCTGCAGCCTTATGGGACTCAGGGGTGGGTTACACATGTGACCCTCTGATGGGATGTCCATGGCGTTTTGAAGAAACTGCGCTCCTGGAGTATTCGAGAGAGGGTTACAGATTCAGCATGGAGAACGAAACTCCGTAGCTGTACCACCCCCCCCCCCCCCCCTCAGGTGGAAGGACTACTCTACACTTACTCGTATTCTCAGAGGCCTCCTCTTCAATGAATGATGATGGTCCACTCCTGAATCCCTTCAAACTAAAATCATGAAAACGGGGGAGAAAAAACTTCAGGAATGAGAGCACACCAGCACACAAGTACACTGACTTATCGCTAAACCTACCCTTCGGTATCTGTTGACTGTTCATCAAGGCACAGCATTGCCCCTCTGTTCCTGGCCATCTCCAATCGGCTGGTCTGCACGACTGAAGCCTTAACCAGGTTCACAGTCGGAATCGATGGTACGGGCTCCAGATCATTGTCAAGCTTGTCAATGGTATCCGGTACATCATCCACTGGGGACAGGCTGCGTCTGGGTGCTGTGTACTTGTCCTGTAGGGGGCGCTGTGGAAGACCTCGGGTCACAGCTTTGCTAGGGGTATATATGGCATCAAAGGAGGCCAGAGAGGTTCGGACGTTCTGTGGTGGGGGCAGGTTCCTGCTGTCCCAAGCGGCAGGCTGGGTGTGCCGCTTCGGATTTCCCCTTTTCCAAGCGTTGCCGGTGTCATTCAGAGCTCTGCGGGGTGGCTGGTTTTTTTGTGGCATCTTCAAGCATGCTTCCTCCCGGCATCTCCTGGTGGTTTTGGGGGAGCAGTGAGGCGGTGAGCCACTGTCCTCATCCATCGCTGCTGACTTCGGGACCTCCCACCAGTTGCTGGAAGCCTTCCTGCACCGATTTCCCAACCTGTCCCCCTGGACTCCATGCTGGGATCCTTGCTGGATGGGGGAACGGCTTGATTGAGTTTTGGATTCGGAATTCTGCATGTGTTCACAGTCTACAATAAACAAAGAAAATCATCATGGGATATTTGTTTATCACCACACTCACTGCATCACATCACACTGCATCAGGGCTATGGGGTCCACACAGACCACAACCTGATGGCCACAGTGTCCCCGTCACTGCGCCAGGGCTATGGGGTCCACACAGACCACAACCTGAT